TTCCCTTTAGTGCTATGTGTCCCTAACTCTTCTCTTCATTTGTAAGAAACTTGGGTTACAGTTGTATTACTTTAGGTCTTTTTTAAAATTCGAATACCATGTACAAAACAAGTTTTAGAAATTAGATTTGGAGGTTCATAATACATATCAACATCATCACAACTAACGTGATCCGACCACTACATCCGAAAACTGAATGTTCCATCTTTTAAGATTCGGTTTAATGAAAGATTTCATTTTGCCTCAAGAAGACAATTTTGAAACTGTCAGTTAATGAACTTTTGATCTTACTCTGAATGATCTAGAGATACATGGTTGATCTTGACAGAAAATTACATATAATTATCATTTGGTGTTAAATAGATGTTTTAATTGACCTCCGAATTGAAATAAATATACAACAATTTTAAATGTGTGTATTAAAATGAAATGAAGATAAGAAGATACCAAGAGGTTAATAAAACCTCATAAGTCGAATGACAGGCATAACCACGAACAAAAAGAGGAAAAACAGAGAATACAAATAGTTGTTACCATAAATTACTTACAACATTTACAGGATTGGAAGTTTGGCTGTACCTGTAGAAACCATGTTATTAACGGGATATCACATCCTGATTTTTACGGTGATATGCGGTTTATAGAGCTCGTAAATTCAGAAACGATTTATCTAAACTTATTGATCCTTTGATTAAACTTATTTTTAAAGGGTATAAATTCAACATTGCATTAAGATCTTTGAACATTGATTTTATTTTTAATGATTTAATACATCACTAAACATGTTATGATATACATTTATGAACACTTATATTATGGTTCTTCAGGCTGTCGCTACTTATATTTTGGCATTGCAAAAGGTCATGCTTTTCTTGGACTGTTTATGATGTTTTACACTAAACCCGTCGGAGGTGTATTGATTGATATTTTTTGTCTGGGACAACATTTTCCTTTGCCTGTTGAAATAGGGTTTTGTTCTAACTTTCAGTAACTGCTTGTTCTCTTAGATCAATACATTGTGTTCTTGTTTTCTATTAGTTTTTATCTGACGATTCAAGTCCTTTCCAACAAATATAAAATAATTTGAAGTTTGTTCTTATATTTTGCTGTTACAGCACCTTTTGGGGTAGGGGAGGGAGTTGAGCGTAAAAAAAATGCTTTATTCCGCTTTATGTACCTGTCCGGTCAGGAGCCCGTATATTTTATCATACTACATCTCCTTATTTCTATATCTGCAAAACATTACACAGAAAACTACAGATTGAGCAACACAAATCCTTTAATAAAAACCAAAGAGTTAGCTATAGTGCTCCGGAAGGGAACAATGTTCCTGCTCTGAAAGTTGCAGCCGTCGTGGTGATCAAGACAAGTAAAAAGGCGATCGTAAGTCGTTTCCGGAGCCACTTTATGAAAATTGATAGAAGGAACGGATTGTGGCAACGACGAGTGGAACATATGCATAGCCAATTAAGACCGTAAGACTTTCGAAGAGATGACTTACCTTGATACCACCGAATCAGTTATACCTTAAACCCCTTTATCAATAGCGGAAAGTAATAAATTCGGAAAATAGGATATGGGTTATACGTGACAGCAACACAACGATTCAAACTAGAGAATAAAATGGGTCCTCAAGATTAGACAGAATGTTATCAATACATTTATATATCAAGTACTATATAACCCCGATTTTACATCAATAATGGATCGAGACAATACAGGATAGAATAGCATTTAAAATCAAGTTTGGGCAATAAAAGAACGGCCAAGTCATATGGATACTGCTTATTTGTCTTTTAAATGTACAAAGACAACAAAAAAAAGAATGTCAAACCATGAGAGTCTTTGAAAAGTTCGATGAAAAAAATAGTGGTAAATCAAGAGTTTTACAAAAATTATTGCCCTTGCATATGGAACTTTTCAATGTTTAGTACGCTCTCTGTTGACACTTTTTATTTTAAGTTCGCAGGAAAACGTTCTTGTATATGAAAACAAATACTGTAAATTCAGAAATTATTGCGAGGCTTTTATAAATGCGAAAAATGCGACTAGGTGATTATCGCAATAATAAGATAATTAAGATAATTAAGATAACTAAAACATAGATCTGTATATAGATTGTTCTGAAATCGCAATAATTAAACTCGCGTTCTTGTCCATTTTTAAATAAATCGCAATAATAAATGCAATTTACAGTAACAATTAATACAGGGTTACATAAAAATTTTCATTTCCATCTAAATAAAGAAAACGACGAGAACTGCAGGCGTTGCATGTATATAAAATTCGTCAAGAAGAAAAAAAATCAACAAAATATATTCATATTAAGCAAGGATTGACATCTTTAAAGAAGAAGGTATGGCAAGGACACTTGTTTGCTCCTTGAATTCGAAAATCAAAAAGTATAATAAAATTTACAAAATACTATCCATCAGATCGTCGTAAAGTATTACTCTGTTGGACATCAGTATTTTTATATTTGTCTTACATATCTAATATGCAGTATGGTTTTTGCTCATTGTTTAAGGTCGTATGGTGACCTATATTTGCTTACTTTTCGTCATTTTGGTCTCTTGTGGAGAGTTGTCTCATTAGCAATCTAGCCGCGCGCTATATAGCCTTTTGCGCTGATGCGGGGTAAAGCAAACATCAATCCTTGGCGATCATACCACATCTTCTTATTTTAAACTCACAAAGAAGCGTTTTTATATCGAAATTTTCGTGACTATGAATCAAAATAAATTTTACTCAGTGTGTTTACCGAAGTGAGCAAATAATGATTTTATTAGCTTAATCTCTTGAACAGGAATTTTTTATTGTAATCACGGAAAGGGCAAGTATCGAGTATGAAAGAGAAATTGAATGTCAAACACGGAACTATTTCTATTTCTTCTTTCAAATGTCCAGCGAAAAATGTTGAAAGTAAAACCATGAACTTTCTTTTGTATATAATTGGTTAAAACATGAGAAATACTAGTTGTTTTCACACCTACACAATTTAAAAGGAAAAGTAATCGTTTGTCTCTTGACGTGACTCGGTATTTATGCACATATTTGTTAGTTAGTTGTGTTGTTTGTCAGAGATGTATATTTTCACAGTTTTGGCTGCTGGATCCCAATTATTTACACATTAACCTATTGTGTCTAAGGCGTATCATGAGGGTCGAAAGTAATGTTATCTTGCAAAAGCACAAAATTATTGCAAATGCTATATTGTATTGAATACATGCTATTTCTTCTTATTCATATTACTAAATATTTGTTATACTATGTTTTGTTTATTTGCTCACAAATATTAAAGATGATTCGAATGACAATAACATTTAGAATTTTAATATTCAGATGATTGAATAATGTCTATGACCTTGTAGTTATCGGTCACATACAACGATGTCAACATAATTATAATTACTGAAATTCTGAGGGAAGACATTTATTACATGGTAGTTTTTGGTCTCGCACATCGATGTAAGTGTTTAAAAATAATATTTAGATCTAAAATTCAGTATTAAATTTTCTTGAATTTTCTGCCATAATTTTACTTTTTATCATCGCTTGCATTTACGAAATAGAACATGTATGTATAAAACTTTTAACTTATTTTAATGAAACGCTAAGGAGAAAGAACTTTAATATCATATGGGCGAACATGTTATAGGGGAAAACAGACCCGATTGATAGCTACTTTGGTAAAATTACTTCCTTCTTTATGTTCATTAGATTACCAATGGAATATCCATTCCACTTAAATTTGCATATTTCCATATTTCAAGTAAGAGAAAAAAGGCATACTTTTGAAAATACAAAAAAAAATGGTAATAAGAAGATCATTATTTTAATTTTAAACCAACATTTAAACGTCCCCAGCCCAATTACTTTATTCACAATTTCCTAAAGACAAAATTTGTTAGCATGGTTAGTTCAAAGATAAAATATAGAAAAGAAGAAAAAGGTATACATCTCTGTACATGTACGAGATTCTTTGAATGTTTAACCTTAAAGTTGACAGTAACTTTCATTCTACAATCCAATATGATTGACGTGTAATGCATGACACAGTTCTTTTTTAAATTCTAATTAGTATTCATTGTGGATTAGCTCCTCCCCTTTTTCGTATTTGATGCAAAAGCTATTGTTTTCTTTTTTACCCTTCTATGCTAGCGTGTTCAAACTTGTATTTGCTTCAACAAAAATTAAAATGCTGCAAACGCTTCAATGTGTTGCATTTGCTATAATTTACTTTTGACCCATTAGATACGTTGGAGTATAGCAAATGCTACATGCAGGTATTACAATTGTTGCATTTGCAGTAATAAATGTCGCATTTGCTACAATATATATACCATTTGCAGTAATAATTATTGCATTTGCTACAGTAAATATAGCATTTGCATATTCTTAAATGCAATTATACTATTTAAATACTTTTGACCCTAATCGTTCACCATATGTGTCTGTTTTGGTTGCTCACCCAATTTTGTCAATAGAAAGGAATATCATACAAGTGGGAGGTTTAGCTAGCTATAAAAACAGGTTTAACTATCCATTTTCTTTGGAAATTCCCTGTACAAAGTCAGGAATATGACAGTTGTTTTCCATTCGTTCAGTTGGTTAATAAAGTGCTAACGTTTGATTTTGTCAGTTTTTAGGGAATTCCACTTTTCGAATTTACTTTAGAGTTCGATATTTTTGTTAATACTTTTTTAGTTATTTTTTTTTTACTTGTTTGTCTTTCGTCGTTTTTCTTTTTGGCCATGGTCTATTTTTCTTCGAATCCTGGTTTTTGATTGTCCTATTGATATCTTCTCATTCCGTTACCTCAAACAAGAAAAACAAATCAAGACCGAACAGCACGAAGCTTATGTCGGTTTAAATGAACACACTAAAACCCTATTGTATCTCCCAATGCTAGTTATTTCATACCTGTATCTTTAACGGGGATTTTTAAATAGTACCGTTAATCATCTTAGTATTAATAACTTAAAGTGACGTAATTGTGTATTCACTGTGAATATTTACTTCCTGCTAGAAAGTTAGAAAGTAAATAATAGGGGTATCGTAGTGACTCTAACTGTCCCAACGAAAATGTAATTGGAAACAAGGTTGCTCTTGAGAGGTTTATGGTATGTACTCAATAATGTTTTTGAATATTTGTCATGAACATTTAAGGGCATTCATGCATTGGAATTTGTTAATTAAACAGGAACGGAAGTATTTCAACAAACTGATGTTTAACTATTGGGTTACTTCCTTCGTTCACCTATAATGAGAAATATCTATTTATTCCTTTATTTATGTCGCGTTGGTATCTTTCGCTTTTCTTTTGTATACCCCTTGTTCTACGGTAGATTGTAGAGACTGATTCAAATATTTGTGTGGCTTGAATTTATACAATAGTGCTTAAAACTTTAGAAGGAGATGTGGTGTAAACCTAAATGAGACATTAGCATAAAAATATAATGTCATGAAAATAGACAACGAAATTCGAACTTACAACCTTAAATAATCGACAGTTCACAAAATATATACAAAATTCGAAGGTTCTCTAGTCCACGAAGAACGGAGAAGACCCATTGGTAACAAGATAACTTTATTAGTACTAGCACATTAACAATAAATGTTTATGGCAAAAAAATACAGACAAAATACAATAATTGGTTGATATCAACAACAAATTAGTAAATAGACGAAAAAATAAAGAGCCGTCACTGACATTGTCAAGCTTATCAACATAAGGTAGGACAAAACTACTTTATTTCCAAATTTTGACATTTTTGGACGAGTTTGGATGATATATGCATGCATATCAGATTACGTTAACCATGTCGTTTTCACTTGGTTTGTATCTTTAAAATGGATTTACGAGTTTTGAACATCGCTAAACTTTTTTTGCTTCTTATTACTGTGCAAGTGAATTGTTTTGCCATGATTATAATACAAATTTCGCCATGATAATAATAAAAAAAAAGGTAATCAATGAAAGAACAAACTATATATAGTTATACAACTCTTTCAAAAAGGTTTTACTTATAGATTGTATATTTATTTTTTAGAATTTGTGTAAAGCATCATGGCGGAAGCTCGATTTGATAATGATAATAACAATTTCCTTCATGAACTATTGACGAGTGCTGACTGTGAAGAAGAAATAGAAGATGTTTTGCAACAATATTTATCAGAACCCTCAACCAATGAAATAGCGTTATTACTTAATGAGCAAAATATATACGGAAATACTCCATTATTGGAGTATCTATCTTCCATGGATCCAAGCTGGAAAGCTGTTAAGCAGATCACACAATTGGGCTGTGATGTTAATATTGCCGACAATTTGCAAATAACACCACTATACAAAATAACAGCAAAACAGTTTGTTCCAAGCAGACTTCTAGAAGGCATGTATTTAGGCGAGTTCGAGAAAAGTATTGTTGAACAACAAAATGACAACGAAAGGCAAATTATGAAAACCTTAATAAATGCCGGAAGTGAAGTGAACAAGCCAGACATTTTTGGTAGAACACCATTATTTCTTGCAAATGATATAGAAATAATCAGAATGCTTTTAGAAAATGGTGCCAGCCTAAATATCAATGACAGATGTGGTCGATCATTATTGCATTCAATTTTATCCATGCCAAATTATAACTATCTATTCAAATTTTACATCTCAAAAATGAAACCAGCTGTGTTACAAAAACCAGACATATTTGGATCCACACCTTTGCATTATGCAGCAATTCTCCGTAAAAAAGATATCTTTGATGAAATTATTAGGAATGGTGAGACACTTGGTGCCAAGGATAATGAAGGGAATACACCTGAAAGTATTTTACAGTTACGTTTACCATCTCAAACTGTAACTGTGTTACAGGAAAAACGTATGCGGAAGAAAGTTTTGAAGAAAACCGACATTGTTCATTTTACAGATATTTACAAAAGCGGAGATCTATCTAATATTGTATACCAACCGGGAAAGATAGAAGATATATACGAAATTTTAAACTTACCTGGCCTTGGAGGATCCTGGGATGAGAAAGAAAGTGAACAAATAAAACAGACTATTGTCAAATTAGCTGAAAAAATATGTGATTCAATGGGTACACTTGACCCAAGATTCCGCTGCACACTTTTTCGAACGGGTAGTTCTGCTGAGGGAACAAAAATTGGCGATCCAACAGAATTTGACTTTGTTTTTTGTCTTCAGAATTTTTCAGAATTATGCGAAATGTTTGAAGTTCCAAAAAGAAAGGGATTTTCTGAACTGAAGGCCGTCAACACCATTCCAGAAAACTACCATACGTTCTTTGACAGTAACAAGAAATGTAATGCGTCAGAGGTACGATTGATATTCTCCAAACTTCTGAAAAGAATTGTATTAGATAAAAATACATGGGATATTCCAAATATATTCTTCGATGGAGACGTAATGCATTTACAAGAGTATGACAGACCTGTGTTCACACTAAAACTAAAATGGTTTGGACAGATGTACAAAGATGAAGAAATAAGTCTTGATATTGTACCAGCCGTAAGACAATTTGGGTGGTGGCCATCCGATACAGATTTCACAAAGCTAGATATGGTGACAGAGCAAATCCGGAATGAGGGTTGTTTACTGTTACTACAGAGTCCTTACTTTCAGGATGATACACTAATGAGAATTTCGTGTTCTCCAGCTGAAATCTGTTTAATGAAGTCTTTGCCGGGATACGTCCGGGAAAGTTACCGATTATGCAAATTATTACGTCACAAATCCGTGTGTCCTCTGATGGATCCTGATCCTATCTCAGATCATTTTCCTCTGTTCGAAGCAGAAGATTCAATAACAAGTTATATGCTTAAAAACTGTTTCTTTCACATTCTAAGTGACTGTAAGAAAGAGGGTTTGCTTCAAACAGACATAGATCTGTCGACAGAAAAACAGTATACAATAGATATAGCTGTCAAAATCTTGCATCACTTCGATGACCGCATTGTGTCACAATCACTGCCTGTTTACTTCATACCAAATAGAGAAGACATTTTCAGATTTGGATTCATTGAACTTGATCATGTTGATGAAGAAACTGTTACAAAGTTGAATCATTTTCATTGTTTAAGGCGCAGAGCATTTTTGAAAATTATGTTGCATGTGCTTGGAAAAGATATTAGCAATAAAACATTATAGCGTTTGCGTTTCGAGGTATTCAAACAAATATTTTTATACCACCTTGTTGGCATGATGAATAAACAAACGGGAAAATACTTGCAGAAATTTTGTAACATGTTACAGGTGAACTTTCTAGCTAATGGTTTAATAATAATACCATGCAGGTAATGCATTACCGTGAAAGTTTTGGCTATTGATCAAATTCACGAGTATCGGTCTGCAATGCTCAGAACCATCTTCAGCCTAATTAAAGACACGCGGATAACTGAAATATAGACAGCTGAAGTTGTTCATACCTAGCGGAAGGACTGCTACAAACTATACTGCGAATTTAAATGTTACAGTTTATGATGTTTTGTTATTGGAATAGATTAATAGATTGTCCCTTTGTGGGATAACAAATACATTACCCGCATTTTTGGATAATGCATGAAGAGATGATAACAAAATATTACTGCAATCATTTATTTGTTCCCGTGTTTCAATACAATATGTGTGTATTACGTATTGGAATGCAAATCATTTCGGGAAATTAATAGATCCTACCTTTTTTGTCACTTCGATGTTTACATCTAATAAAGAAAGTTCGTGAATTCAGTTTCAATTTTCCCATCAGGAATTAAGTTTCAATTTTCCCTGAGGACATTACATATTTAATCAGGCTCGTAACCCAGAGTTTTATTGTTTTGTCATTGACAAAGCAAACATATTTCAGAGTTTTCGTTTTGGATCATGAATAATTGGAACAATCTATCGTTCAAATACTTCCAAATAAACTCATCATAAATACCAGTTTCACTATACACTACATTCAAATCTTATTTTAATTTTTTTGGAAAGATTTTGATTAAAGTCTACTATGAGGAATCTTTTAGATTTTTTTTTTTATATAATAAAACATTTCAGTTTTCTTTGTATGCTACATTTTTGCTACCCTCTGAGCAATATCGATGCATTTATTGCAATCAAAGAAGACCAGAAATGCAATCTTACGTGGAGCACCACATACACAATTTGACCTGTATAATATTTGATATAAATAGGTCGTTATTTTGAAATGAAGCTGAACAGAGAATACGTGTTAAGGATACATGTAGCGCCGTCGTCGCCACATACACGATAACTTAACATTAACCACTGATCGATAAAAACTAGGTCAAGGTCATATGAATCCTGCCAGACGGACATGTATACCTAACAATCATTCCATATAAACCAAATAACGTTTACGTATCGCTTATTGTCCTTTTCTCAAAAAGTTCATCTGAAAGTACCAAGACCTAATAGATAAATATTCAGTGTCTAATTCACAAATACTACAAGATAACTCGAGTTATAGATTCTAAGTGCTAAAGTTGTATATCTTTTAATTTCCTTTACAGTTTTTCCTTTATTTTTTGTTTGTGCTATTATGTTCCTTTTGGTCATATGACTCTTGACGTGACATCCAGCTATCACGTTCTTGGCTTTTGGCGTTTCTGGTGCATGTGGGTCCAGAGGTGCGTTATGGACGCAAAAGGTTTTAACAGTGTTGTTTTCATTTTGTTCACCCTTGACTTTGTATTTTACTTAATATGTACTTTATTAAGAAAGTGTACTATATACTGTATGTACTATTCTGTATCTGTATCTGTATCTGTATCTGTATCTTGTCTTCACCTCCTTTATAGGAGATCAGTGATTTCTCACTAAAAGTATAGGATATAAATAACTTTCCATCCACCATAAAGTTAAAAATAGTCCATTACCAACTATATACATGTATAAACATCATGTTCATTCTAAAAACACATTGTTTATATACAGCATATAAAAGTGTCTCTTCCTGCAAGTTATTTCATCACACATCTAAAAGCTCATACATGTGATGTATATAAATACCGTAGAAACTAGAAAAAAATATGTGTCTTGCCTATTTTAAAATTGATCAAATTTTAATACAGTTAGAGTTATACTTTAAATAAATAAATAAAAATAAAAAATGAAATTCACCATAGTTTGAATCAGGTTCTATATAAGATTAGGCAGTATCCAGTGGACAACAAAGGCAACAGTTTGCATGCTATATGTGTTAAGTGTCCACCAAAAAAAACAATCGCTCCCTATTTTGGGATTTATCTTTTTATTGAAAATCAAACTCATGCCAGGTTAAGATGAGTGGAAATCTTAAATTAATTTGAAAGGAATGTCATATTGGGTAAATGAAGGCACTATTCAAGCAGTATGAATAAATAGTGATATGTTTTGGCAAAAAGTAAAATAACAAAAATACCGAACTCCAATGAAAATTCAAAAAAGGAAAATCCCTTAACAAATGGAAAACTGTCATATTCCTGACTTGGTACAGGCATTTCCTTATGTAGAAAACGGTGGATTAAACCTGGCAAGTCACCCTCTCGATAAGATAGTCCCCAACCTCAATTGTTCTAATATTTGAAGCAGGATTTGATGGATGAAAGCCTTCAGATGATCTGATAAAAATAAACACCCTGTAAAATTCAGGAGAGAAAAACAATATACAGTTTTAAGCATTCACTAAACCATCGAAATTGAGATCAAGGATAAATGACATCTGACAGACGGAGAATTCGTAATATAAGGCATCTATATACAAAATATGAGTAATCAGGTCCTCTATGTCTAAAATATAAAGCTCTATACAAAAATCAAAGCATCGTTGATGTTGTGATCCAGCCATGTTTATAGCTAGTCTGGTATTCTTTCTGACCATACGTTTTTCAATATTTTTTTCTCTTTTCATTTCCAATCTTACTGTAAAATTTCTATGTTATTGTCCAAAGGTATGGAATTTCGCAATATTGATACAAATATTGATATATATATTGATATTTCAATTTTAGACTCTGACAGAATTTTTTTTACAAGAATGGAAAGGGAAATCGTCAAATAAGTAATATATTTTTTTATATGCCATTAATTATAACTGGCTTAATAATTTCCAGAAACAGGCCTTACAAATGCTCTTTCTCAAGAACAAAAATTATTTTTTATCTAAATTGGTGTTCATTCTTCATTCAGAAAAAATACTTTTCCTGTATTCAAATTTAAATGTACAAATACCTAATGCTGAGATATCTCCAATTACTGTTAAATAGCAATATAATGTGATATAAATGTAGAACAAACAAATATATTTTATTGCAGAAAATGCTCATGTAAGAGTTATGCAATTTTGTATATTATTTCATCAAAATTTCTGATAATCATGATAATTGTAACTAATTATTTAGAACTTGATTATTGACTTAAGTCAGATGATAATGACACTGATTTTACAAGTGAAATAAAATTTGCTTGCATTTTTTCTTCTTTTTTTTCTTTAATTTATTGTCTTTTCTTTGAAAAAAAAACACATCTGATTAATAATTCAGCTAACTAGCAAAATTAACAGAATATTTTTGTATAGTGTAGATTAAAATAAATAATACATTTGTAGGTTTAATATTGAGGTCAAGAATGTGTGTATTCAGTTAGGTGTGTAATAAATTGTGTCTATTCAATTATGTAACAGGTCATATGATATTAACTGTGGTCAATTTAATAAGCCTGGGATTGTTTCCAATTAATACTTACACCTTTGATTGTAATTATTTGAAAATCTTGACAGTTGATAATCATACTGACTCTTAATTACTTGCCTATGGAAAGAATTGGAGTCATACCATTTCAAAATTAAATGCTCCGCAGGGCGCAGCTTGATACGACCGCAGAGGTCGAACCCTGAACAGTTGGGGCAAGTATGGACACAACATTCAAGCTTGATACAGCTCTGAATTTGGATTGTGATTAAATATTTGACACAGCATAGGTTTCTGACACAGAATGAATGTGGTCTAAGAACTTAAAAATTTTAAATTGGACATTCACCTATTATGGTCCAATATCCAAAATCTAAATACATGGTTAGATTCAGCATATCAAAGAACCCAAAGAATTCAATTTTTGATGAAATCAAACAAAGTTTAATTTTGGACCCTTTTGACCTCAATGTGGACAAAGTTGATAACGGGGCCCAAAAATCAAAAATCTAAATACATGGTTAGATTCAGCATATCAAAGAACCCCATATATTCAATTTTTGTTGAAATCAAACAAAGTTTAATTTTGGACCCCGATTTGGACCAATTTGAAAACTGGGCCCATAATCAAAAATATAAATACATGTTTAGATTCAGCATATCAAAGAACCCTAAGAATTCAATTTTTGTTAAAATCAAACTAAGTTTAATTTTGGACCCTTTGGACCTTAATGTAGACCAATTTGAAAACGGAACCAAAAATTAAGAATCTAAATACACGGTTAGATTCGGCATATCAAAGAACCCCAATAATTCAATTTTTGACGAAATCAAACAAAGTTAAATTTTGGACCCTTTGGACCTCAATGTGGACCAATTTAAAAACGGGGCCCAAAATCCAAAAACTTAATACACGGTTAGATTCAGCATATTAAAGAACCCCAAGAATTCAAGAATAAAACCCCATTGAAATTGATCAAGTTATAAGCAAATTATACGAAGTATCTTCTTTTGCACAATACTGTGCAATTGAATATTTCTTGCTATTGCGCAATACTGTACAATTGACAATTTCTTGCTATTGCCCAATATTGTGCTATTGGATATTTCTTGCTATTGCGCAATACTGTGCAATTGAAGATTTCTTGCTATTGCGCAATACTGTTCAATTGAAAATTTCTTGCTATTGCACAATACTTATTATATAATAACTTACACATCCTGTTTGGTGCGTATCTCCTACCATATCATTATTATTTGCTTTTAATATAAATCAGAAATAACCAACTTAAAATGGAAAATTTTAAAAGAAAAAAAAAAGGAAAAAAAGAAAAAAAAAAGAAAAGAAAAAATAATCCCCCCCCCCAAATTTTTTGAACCCCCTTATGATTCATCACCCCCAAACTCAATCCCAGCCTTCCCTTTGTGGTATGGTACCTTGCAGTACAATTTCAGAGAGATCCATACACTTGAACACAAGTTATTGTCTGGAAACTAGAAAAATGTGTTTTTTGGCCCCTTTTTGGCCCCCAATTCCTAAACGTTTAGGGCAATTACCCCCAAACTCAATTCCAGCTATCCCTTTGTGATATGGAACCTTGTAGTACAATTTCAGAAATATCCAAACACTTCCACACAAGTTATTGTCATGAAACTAGAAAAATGCTTGTTTTTTGCCCCTTTTTTGGCCCCTAAGTCCTAAAATTTTGAGACAATTACCCCCAAAATCAATCCCAGCATTCCTTTTTTTGATATGGAACCTTGTGGTACAATGTCAGAGATATCCATACACTAACACACAAGTTATGTCTGGAAGTTACAAAAATGCTTATTTTTGGCCCCTAATTCCTTTACTGTTGGTACCATAACCCCCAAAATCAATCCCAACCTTCCTTTTGTGGTATTGAACCTTGTGGTAAAATTTCATAGAGATCCATTCACTTAAACTAAAGTTAGAGTGCGAAAACCAATGTGTCTTCGGACGACGCCGGACGACGCCAGACGACGACGACGACGACGACGACGACGCCAACGTCATACCAATATACGACCAAAAAAATTTTTAATTTTTGCGGTCGTATAAAAATGTGGGAATCTACTTAGATATATCAATACACATGTTGACCTACTTTTCACTGAACAATAATTTACACAAGCATAAGATACTAATATAATACTTTCAAAATTATAATCAACTGATTCAATTGATGTACAAATACTTTTTCAAATTAATTCATAAATAGTAAATCATTATAAATTTTAATTTACAAAGGAAATATTTGCAAGTGAATATCTAAAATAAAAGGGTTGTTCGATCACTCTTTTCTTAATTTAAGGGCTAATAACATGTCAAAAGTTGGCAGTTGATGATT